TAGCCATTGAAAATGAGATTGCTGCAATCCGTGATGGCAATGAGCATGATCAAAGCTTAGGGCGCACCAGTGCGGCCAAGGGACCTGTTAATGATCATGCAATTTCAACAAGGTGATGCTTTTGAATAACCCTGTACTATCAAATTTTTCTGCTGACGATGGACTAAATTTGGATCATTTGTATCAAATCAATAAGAGCTGTATACATCAGAGGGAAAGTGAGCCTCTAACCGTAAATGTCTGAAGATAGGTCATGAACTAGCTTTGGCTTAATAGATTGGCTCATTTATTTATGTTTCATATTAGGAAGAAAAAACATAATGTCTTACTTTCATTAGATGCACATGTTCTTGGTCAAGGAATGGTTTTCATTGGAAGAAGAAATTGCAGGTCTTGTATGTTTATTTGTAAAGGTGATGAAATTAGCTTGTGTTTGCAGAAATGGATGGAGCTCGTAAGCTTCCAATGTCCAATTAATTGCAGTCCGGAAAGGGCAATATTTCACTTTAGTAAAAGGTACCCTTTCAATGCGCCAGTCCAGTTTCTCTAGTAGTTAATTTGTAAAGAACTTAGGTGATAGTACTATTTGTTTCCTTTCTGTGTATGTTTGTAGAAGTACATTATCATAAATTGATTAAGGAAATTGTTCTCAAGCATGGTGCATGAGTCTATTCTCAGGCTTAACTTTACAAATCAATTTGCGTCCTATTCTCTTTGACTCCATTGTATACTTCAAATCGAATATCTTGAGGGGTTGTACTACAAATGGGAGACGATGGGAGATTAAGAGTCTGTTTGACCAAGCTGCAGGATGACAAGAAAGCTCTAGATTAAGGAAGTTGTTCTTCTAGATATAGACGAGATCTGCTTATGGTCCATCAGTTTGTGATATCAATAGGCGCATATATCGCCACTATCAAGATTTTCATGTAAAGCATCTTGATTCTTTCTGCAGGAAGAGGACAACAAGATACACATACAAGAGGTTGCAAAGTTGAAAAACTAACATCACCTATTGATGAGCTTGAGGAAGCTATATTGGCTGCTAGATAAAAA